CCTTAGCTTTACAAAGGCAAAGGAAATAGGAACGAGCTCGTATGCAATGCAAACACAAAAAGCTAAAGGGGTTCATTGCAGGCATCTTAAATGCCTTTCTCTCCTTAGAAAACATCAGTGCTGGAAATACCCCCAGGAATTTTTTCAGCCATAGGGATCAGTTCCAAATCCAACTCACTCCACTACCAGCAGGGCTGAGCCGACAGTGAGCAAACCTGGGGGCTACAGCGCTCACAATGCACAGTTCCCCAGGACCCAACGGGAAAGCCGAGAGCAAGAGACAACACAGTATGTGGCAGCTGATGTAAGGCACACAAAAGAAAGAAAACCTCTGCTGCCCCTCCCTTTCCTGAATACAAAGCTTGGGGAAGAGCTTTCCTCCCATTCTACAGTTTCAGCATAACTTTGACATTTTTCAGTGACAGTAAGTAAAAGCAGATCTGTCCTACAAATATGACTGAGCTCCAGACAACAAACTGCTTGCTATCTATTTACACTGTGAACTATTCATTAAAAATCAACCACCAATTGACTGTTAAGGGACCCATCTTGATAAATGATGAAACCAGAAGAACTTCACAGTCCCTCTGCCTTGCCGAATGGGGACATTAGTCATTTTTAAGTGGTCATTTGTTACATTGTTTTATCCAACATATTTATAATCATAATGAATTGAGACAAAACATCAAACTACAATCCCTTTGCCTGCGAGTAATCCTAACTGAAAAGCACATAACAGAAAGATAGATTGATGGCCAGTGCAAATAACTCTTTTGAGATTAATATATTTTATCATGTTGATGTTTCTAGTCATAATTAGATTGCAAGAATCCACTGACTGACTCTAGATGTGAAAGACCACTTAAGAGCAGCCACTTCCTTTTAGAAAAACATTTGTTTAAAATACAGAAGGGATAGCTGACAAGAAAATCAAACATATCACACACATCAATATTCTGACCATGCAAATAAAAACATAAAACTTCTTTGAAGCACTCTCAAATACATCAAAAAATAATAATTTTTACTATGACCAGACTTCAAAATCATGAAAAAGTAAAGAGTGAAAGTCCAATGAACCCAAACTCCACACAAACCTAGGTTAGCTCCTAAGCCAGAGGAGATGACTCAGGGGCTTGCCCAGCCTGTGATGGAGCATGGGGCTGTTCCTCCTCACATGCAGGACTCCTCCCTTTGCTGAACTCGAGGAGGACCCTGCTAGCCCATTTCTCCAGCCAGCCAAGGTCCCCTTGAACAGCAGGCCTGCCCTGACAATGTCAGCTGGGTGCCATCCTGCAGCACCAAGCATGCAACCAGCAGCTCAGGGATCCCGCACCCTCCCATGCCCTGCTCCGCACAGGAGCCAGATGAGGTGAGGCAAGAGCGCATCAGAGGATGGGAGACTCCTGAGATAGGGTGAGCTCTGAAGAAACCAAGAAACACCCCTTTGTATTGAGTCCCTCCCTCTAAACAGCTGAGCCAAAGTTTGCTCTTGGTTGCTTTTTCTTAACAGAGATGACACACAGGTTACATTCTTGACACAGCAACACTTCTTAGGCTTATCACACAGAAAATTAGCAGACATCTCCTAACATCACTGAATTCCACCAGTGTTATCATTTTTTCAGCATTATGTAACTAAGAAGATCATTAAGCCTGATCAAATGAACTGCCCAGTATTTTTCTGGAAGCTGTTGGTGAAACCACAGTGTGAGTGGTGTGACTGCACTCAAGGCAACTCATTAAGTACAACCCAGACCTGCTTTTCCAATCTGAACAACCTCTTTTCCCCTTTCATTTTGCTCTCTGACCTCCTTTCTGTCCTGTTTACTCCATTTTGTTTTGAAGTCTTGACTTTTATTTTGCCCAGAATTTTTGAGCTACCTTACTCTATTTTGTTTTGAAGTCTTGACCTTTATTTTGCCCAGAATTTTTGAGCTACAGTTGTCAGTTAGCCATTTCCTTACCAGCTCCTACCAAGGTCTCGTCTCCATACACCCACATTCAATCACTGCAGATTGAAAAACAAACTTTTAAACATCAGATTCAACAGAGCAGTGAATGTCTGGATGCAGCTGTATTATGGAAAATGCAGAAGCATCACAAGGCACACGCATTCGATATACACATTTTTGCGTATTTCTCATTTGTCTGGGAAATATTCATCTAACCTCATTTTACGAGACAGAAAATAATTATGTTCATATTTCCTTCATTAGTTGCATATGTGCTTAGATGTCAGTTATTTATACAAACCCACATTGACATATATTATGAAAGGGTCTGAGGCAGACCAATGAACACCTAAAGTATATCAATATAAGATACAGATGATGGAATCCAAGTTGTTTACACCCACAACAATATATCAACATACTCATGTTAGCAATGGAAAGCTTTCTAAACTTGGTTGGTAAAGCAGTAATAAAGCAAAAGGCTTAGGCAGGGTGCTGGCTGAAATGCAATCTCTTTCCTACTGGAGCCAGAACTTTATCAACTGATCTTAACAGTGACCACAGAGAAGCTCCCTCCACCTCTATTGCTTAAGCTTTCTGGAATCATTCTTCCCAGAAAAGAAATTTTTAGCGTCAGACTTTGAACTCCTCCACATAACCACTTTATTTCTCATTCAGTGATATGATTTAAGCGTGGTACTTTCCTAATATAAAAGACTAACAGCTGGATTCAGAGCCCTACATTTGCAAAGACTGCCAAACAGAAAATGTGTTAAGAAATAACCCAGTGCCCCTTCCTTATCTGCACATATTTTGAGCAGCTCCCCCATGATTACTGCAGGATGTCACCAGAAGGGCATGAGAGAGTGGAACTATGGCTTGGCAAGAAAGAGGTCACCCTGTTCTCCTGTTCTCCTGTTCTTCCTTCCTTACACCACCACTCTGCACTGAACCAAAAACACAAAAGCAGAGAGAAGAACAAATATACAGAGCTAAGTGATACATCTCACATGCAAGTACAGCCTTCCCCAAGAAACCTGGGAAAAGATTATGTGAGCCCAGGAGTCCTTTGCTTTTGCCTGATCTGGAAGCCCTCCCTCCTCTGCACGGACTCTGGGTATGACAGCCCCTCTCGAGAATCTGACAAATACTTAACTATTTCTGCCCTGGTGTCACTTCCTAAATGAAATACCTAAGACATAGTCTGTCCCAGTTCCTTCTCAATTCAATGCAAAACATTACCATGCTATGGTAGTACTGCTCTGTGCTGTCTTCTGGATAGCATGAGTTGTCCACAGCAACATAATGATATCCAGAGACAGCTTACAGACGATTAGTTTGGCATTTTCATCCTCTCACACTTTCTGACAGTAAAATGCTTCTGCAAGTTTGTACATACAGGATTTTAACACTGCAGTCCTGGAAGATGCAAGTGAGGTTCGGATGGTATCACCATTCTTCACTCTGCTATTCATAGCCAAAAGGTCTGAGTGGAGAAGTGTTTGTGCTCTGCCACAAGGGAAGCCCATCCCAAGCTCTCAGACATCAGTATGGATAGCAGTCACTGACATGTCAGCAGTCAAATCAAAGAGAAATTCCTTAAGATTTTGTGCACTGGTTTTAGCAGGCAACAACTGTGGGCATATGGGCCCCTGACCGCATGTTAAAAATGGTGTACATTACTGCATAGCTACTCACACTACTTTGTCTCTATTAGGATTTAAATTCGGCCCCAAGGGGCTGGAAGTGTTTTCTGGGACCTGCAGTATTCAAAGCAGATGTTATATGAATGCTTCTGAACTAAAGATTGTTTCACTGGTTGTGATTTGGAGAGACTGGATTTAAGGACACAGATTGATTCCCTCAAGTCTCATGCTGTTTGTGAATCTGGAGGTAGCTGAAATCAGCATGTCCACTACCTGTTGTGAACACTAAAAAAAGCATACCCAAGAAGGAACTACACTACTCCGTATTCAAGTCAGCTGTTGATAAACTGTGAAACTGTATCACTAAAAGATTGGTAAAACCAAATTATCACTGAGAACTAGGAATCTGTCTTCCTGAACTACTTTGCTAAGTTAACAGAACTACAGACTTACATTCTGGTATTGAATTAACACTGTGCTTTTGAAAAAACACTTGGTTGTTTTATTGTTTCCATGCCTGACAGGGACTCAGGGGTTGATGAAAGTTCTCTAGACAACAGGTTTTCTATCATAATATATCCCTCCTTGAGTAGCAGAGTTTCCAGAATGCCTTATTTAACCAAACTGCTATGCAGCATCCTGCTAGACCGAGCCTTGCATCCACTGCACCATACCCTGCATTTGTCATTACAATTCATTAACTCCAATGCAAACCCATAGGCACTGTGAGCACTGTGCCTTGGCAGGAATGGGTTAACACAGCATCCCAGCCAAACCCTATCCTTCACAGTCACCAACAACTCAGCCTGACAGATGTCAAGGCTAAGAGCATCTTAGCAACTTAAAAGCATAAAGTCAGTACAGCATGGAAGTCCACCAACAACTTCTTGCTTTTTAACTAGCACAGAAAATGCATGCTGTAAGACAGCCTTCTCTTTATCACAAGAAAATAAAACACCAGGATATTTTCAAAGAGATCATATCTTGTTAGACTTCTTAAACAGGATCTGTCAATGTGGCATCTGAGTGTGACTCCAAAACATATTAAGCTTCATAGTCAGTAGCTCTAATAGAAGACAACACCTCTCTCATTTTCCCTTCAACCTTGCACATTAGAATAATCAACACCACTATGCTCAGCTCAAACACCTGGCTTCAAAGCAATTACCTGTTTCCTTAACATACTACTAGGTTTCCCCCTGAACAGTCAGGTATTGTTCAGAAAACACCGCATTAAGCTACAGCTGTGATAAGCTATAGTATTCCCATGCCTGGAAGACAATACAGCATAGGAAGCTCAGACCAGTTATTTAATCTATTATGCTTTCTAACATAATATAAATTTTTTATAATATTGGCAATACATATAATGCATACAGCTGTAAAAATGTCAACGAACTTTTATGGCTTTCCTCTTCATATGAATATTCAGTCATCCATTCATCCCTAAATCCACTTCAATCCTGAAAAAGAAAAGATGAAATAGTTAAATTGATGCATTTTCTTAGAGGTTCATTAATACCTCAACTATTATTGTATATGTAAATAAAAAATATGACCACGCACATCTGTTTCATAGTACAGGTCAGAAGAACAGTAAGTTCACAAGCACTTCATACAAAACCGGATAAATATGACCAAAAAAAGGAAAAATCAAAGACAGCATTATGTTTCCTCTTAACAAAAGATTTTAGTCAAAATTCTCAGTGTCTTTAATTTCCAAGCTGCTATTTGTGCATGCTAAACCCAACTGCCTTAATGAATTTTCAGAGCCCATTATATATCAGTACTCTGCATTTGTACAGATAAACTTTCCAGCAGTTACTGAGTGCAAACATTCTCCACCAGCATTTCAAATTGTGCTTCCCAAAGATACTACATGAGATCTGAACAATAACACATAAAAAAACTGTCCAAGACAAGTACAAAACTTGACTATGTCTTACTTCAAAGGTTTCCTATAGATGCATGACTAGTTTAGTTATGAGGGCCACAAAGACAAACAGAGGGCTGGAGCCTCTCCTGTGAAGACAAGCTGAGAGGGTTTGGATTGTTCAGCACACAACAGAAGAGAGGGGAGACCTTAGACCAATTGTTCAGCACAGAACAGAAGAGAGGGGAGACCTTAGACCAACTTCCAGTACCTAAAAGGGGCCTAGAAGAAAGCTGGACAGGGACTTGACTTTTCACAAAGGCACAAAGGATAAGGAAAGGCTTCAAACTCAACGATTACATTAGGTGTTAGGAAGAAATTCTTAACTCTGAAGGTAGTGAGGCACTGCAACAGGCTGCCCAGAGAAGTTGTGGATGCCCCCTCCCTGGAAATGTTCAGCCTCAGGTTGGATGGGGCACAGAGCAACCTGACCTAGTGGGTGGCATCCATGTCCATATCAAGGGGATTGTAACTGGATGATCTTTAAGGCCACTTCCAACACAAACCATTCTATGATTTTACATGAATCTATAAAAGAAAAGAAGCATATAGAGATTTAAATACTATATTATACTTTTGGGATGCTCCTTCAGATTTAAGAAAATATACTTAGCCAGTAGTCTAACTTTTTTAAAAGCCTCGGGGGAAAAAAAACCAGCCTCAGATGTCCAAAATTTAAATAATAAGACAGTATGTCTTAAACCTCCTGCCAGAATATGTGCATGTATCTGGAAACAAATGCTACTTACATATGTCTCTTTTAATAATGGAAATGGTGTGAAGTCAAGAATCTAAATCTGCTGTCAGAGTTATTATAAACAATCTGCTCTTATTTTTATATCATTCAAAATAAGGTCATCCTTCAAATAGCAGTAGAGCATCACCTGCCTGATTTTAAACCACATTCCAATATTTCACTACTGCTGTATATATGACAACATGACAGGTTTCCAGACACTATGCAAACTTTTACACTGAAAACAAGACAAGAAGCTCCCTTAAGAATATGAAAATAGCAAATATTCATACACTGTGCTACTACCATACTGACTAAACACCACACACTTATATTTCATTTCTAAGAAAATATTAAGTTTAATAGAGAAAAGTTTCAAATATTTGTATGAATATTTGAAGGCTTCAAAACGACCACTAAAATGTAACTAAATACCACAGGCTTAGAGCATTCTAACCGCTGTAGGCCATTTGCCCTGTCTCTCATGTATCTTGTAGATTTTCTTTCCTTTTTCTTATTTCATCTCCCTTGGCATTATTTGGCCTCTACTTCATGAAACAGATTTTATTTTTGTTCGTTTGTTCTTTGCAGGTTTTTTTAATTGCACACTTGAACTACTTTTGAGTTCCTAGCTGTTCTTTCTCTGTGCTTATATCCAGAAACGGGACAAGTGACCAGGTTTTCCATATCCTGGACTTACATGCTGTGGTTCTCTAACCTGTAGAGGAAATGACTGAGTCATCAAGTCTTTTAAAATTAAATGTAATATGTCCAAAAGCTTCATGAAGTCTCTGAGAGGAAGACAGAGTTTGACCTGTAATTGTTTCCAGTTCTCCAGGTTTTCTCATCATTACTCCTCTCACATACAGACACACACACTCCTACAACACAACTTAGCTTCAGGTTACACTCCAGTGCTGGAGTCCTATTAGGTTACAGTGGCTATGGTGACACAGCAAACATGGGTATGTGTTTCAGAACTGCTAACACACCACTACCCAACCAGCCACAGCTGCAGCTGGTTCTGCAGTATTAAATCATGTCCAACAGCCCTCCTGGTGGAAAAGCTACTTTGTTAGCAATGACAAATAATTGAGTTTGCTTATTAATTCTCATCTACACAATTTAACAAGCAGTGAATTGCCCACATCCTCGCACCACTGGAGTGCTCTCCTCCATGGAAGACCTACTAGCAGCATTTTAGGCTGCTTTTGGGGAGAAGATTCAGAGCACACTGCTCATCTGAAAACAATGTTTAACTAGCAGTTTTGCGAATCTTTGGCCTGATTTTCAGAAGAACTGAAATCTCTGACTTCAGATGAAAAGACCTTGAAATCCATATGAAAAACAGGACCGTTCATCCTTACAGACCTAGTGCATCCATTCTGCCGCATGTGCCACGGCTTTGAAACCTGCTAAGGACTTTGGGTTTTGGTGTCTTACTGTGAAAACTCAGTTTCTACTATCAGAAATAGGAAAGCAGATATTGAAGTCCTAATAGAAGCATCTTCCATTTGTATCGAGCAGGCTTTATACCAGAAGAAAATTTACCCGACTAGACAACTGCACAACATTCCTGATTCAAAATCTTTTGGTTTAAAAGACTCTTTAAGTAATCACAGAGCAAAGCATCTAACAAAGCACCCATTTCAACCAAAAGAAAGAAATCTAAGCAGTAAACTGTCGTGGTTTAACACCAGCCAGCAGCCAAGAACCACACAGCCACTCA